TAATATATAATTTTGTATAATTAATTTTAAAAATAATAAATTAAAAAATTATATTAAGTATAAAAATTTAATAAATCAAAATTTTTCTATTTATTTTTATAAAAATTATTTATATAAACAAATTTAAAACCTACTACAACTCAATTAAAAATTTTAAATAACAAAGACCCCCCCAAACCCGTTTTGGTATGCCCGTTGGCTTTGCTTAAAAATTTTGTTTTTTGGGGGAATTGGTGTACCCAAAAAATTTTGTTATGAGGTTTTTAAAAAAACTTTAAAAAAAGGCCAAAAAAGGGGTTTCCCGGGGTGGAACGGGGGGTTCCGAAGGGGGGGAAAGATTATATTAAAAAAGGCGGGGCAGGGAAATCTTTGGGACGGATTGGGGGGGGGCTGAAGGTAAATTTTCTGAATTGTCATTGTTTGTAAAGAGGAGGGGGAAAAGGTTTTGGGGGCCCCGGGTTTTTAAGTAAAAAGGGTTGGGGGGTAAACCAAAATTTTTTTTTGGAACACCCTATGGGTTCCTCAAAAAAAGGCTAAAACAGGGCTGAGGCCGGAAAATTTGGAAAAAAGGTTCGGGTTTGCGATGGGTGATAAAGGGCAAATTGGCAAAAAATTTTTTAAGAAAAGGAAAAAATTTCTTGATCCCAAAATTTAAAAAATAATTTTACCTTAAGAATCGAAATATTTTTTCCCCCCAGAAACCCCTTAGTTTCCCCGGGAAAAAGGGGAAAAACCCTGGAAATTTTTTTTCTCCTTGAGAGGGAAAAGGGGGAGTCAAACCTGTGATGAATTTTGGGATAAATTTTTTTAAAAGTATTTTATTACAACAATTGGATATTGGGTTGAACAGGGGGTGTTACTTTTGGGGCTTGGGCCATTTAAAAAAATACTTTTTCTTGTTTCCTTAAAAAAAGGGGGCCCTTCCTCCAAATTTTAAACCAACCCCCCCCAAACCCTTTTTTCCCTTTCCAAGGTGCCCCCATTTCCCCCCTTCCTTGGGCCCGGGGTCCCCTTCCTTTTCCTTGGGCCAAATTTTTTTTTTTTTTCCCTTCTTTGGCAGGTGTTATTCTTTCCCTTTGGGAATTTTAAAAACCTTTCCCCCCCCTTTCCCTTCCGAGCCCGGTGCCCCCCCCCCCTTCCTTTCCCTTTCCTTCCTGGCCAGGTGCCTCCCCTTCCTTCCTGGCCAGGTTCCTCCCCATCCTTCCTGGAAAGGTGCCTCTCCAACCTTCCTTCCTGGCCAGGTACCTTCCCATCCTTCCTTCCTGGCCAGATGCCTCCCCTTCCTTCCTTCCTGGCCAGGTGCCTCCCCTTCCTTCCTTCCTGGCCAGGTTCCTCCCCATCCTTCCTGGAAAGGTGCCTCACCAACCTTCCTTCCTGGCCAGGTACCTCCCCATCCTTCCTGGCCAGGTACCTCCCCATTCTCCCTTCCTGGCTAGGTACCTCCCCATCCTTCCTTCCTGGAAAGGTGCCTACCCATCCTTCCTTCCTGGCCAGGCACCTCCCCATCCTGGAAAGGTGCCTCCCCATCCTTCCTTCCTGACCAGGTGCCTCCTCAACCTTCCTTTCTGGCCAGGTACCTCCCCATCCTTCCTTCCTGGCTAGGTACCTCCCCATCCTTCCTTCCTGGCTAGGTACCTCCCCATCCTTCCTGGCCAGGTGCCTCCCCATTCTCCCACCCTGGCCAGGTGCCTCTCCATCCTTCCTTCCTGGCCAGGTGCCTCCCCATCCTTTATATCCTAGCCAGATGACTCCACATCCTTCATTTGCTGGTCATGGGCCTCCCCATCCTCTCTTCCAGGCCAGGTGCCTCTCCATCCCTCTTTCTTGGCCAGGTTCCTCCCCACTCAACAAACATTTTTACTAACACACACGTAATCTCTGGAATAAATTTATTGATACACAAAAATTTTATACACATGAAGGCAGAGTCATGCATAAGGCTTATAAATGATTTAAAAAATATCAAACATATACTGAAAAAAAAAAAAACATATTTTTGAAGTGTTAAATCCAAAGGTCATAAATGCTTGAAGGATGAAGAAGAAATGGGTGGCAATCAAGTTTGATCAAAGTGGATTATTATTTTCAAAACAAGATGCAAACCAGTATGGGTGGTAGAGCTCAAAGGTGAATTATGTTGTAAGGGCAGGTATTAATGGAGGTGGGATTTAGTGGTGTAATATTAACATTATAGTTGGTGTAACAGGTTAGCTTCTCTTTAAAAGTCATAGACAAGGTCTGCAAAATAAAGATGGGTCTCTTGTAAGGAGAGCAATTAGTGTGCATCATCATGCAGAAGATAAAGAAAGTGAATTCTGATGGGTCTCTGGAAGATAAGGCCATCTGCTGATGTATGGTGCACTGTCAGATCCACCTGGTAGTCCTCACACACGGGTGCAGAGACATCAGAAGTGAATTTTGCGTTCCCATTGAAAGGCAACTTATTATGTTATGGTGAATTGACAATGTAATGTGACAATCGTCTCAGAGTAGTGCCGGGCATTTTTCCATGAGGTGCCCATGAGTGTCTTAAGTGTGGCTGATACGGTGGAAAAAAGATGGGTAGAAGCCTAAACGTGGTTTGACAGAAAGTAATTTATTGTGGACCAGCTCAGACTGCCCTTGTTGCCAGTGGTTGCCAAGTTGAGAGATTACTGAAAAATGATCACAGAATGAAATAGTCTCATGTACAAAACTGGAAGGCCATGAACAGCTGACTGAGTAGCCTTGTCTGCCTGTTCGTTACCCCAAACACTGTCAGTGACCCAGCAAAAAAATGATGCCTGTGTGTTTACTAGACATTCGGCATAACCAAAGTTACATGCATAGGACGATAGGTTGAAAGGAATCAATTTTTGATGCAATGCGCATGATAGCCATGAGAGTTGCAAATAAGATGGCCATGAAAACAGTGGCTGAGCCTAGTAAATGACCTCAGATGATTTTGTCAGCAAGAACTGCTGCATACCCAACATCATCAAGGGATTTAAAACACAAGTTATCAAGAAAAGTTAGCAAGAAGTTATGGTAGGTAAGTGATCTTTCTCACATGCATGTGGGGAAGAGTAAACACGAATCATCAGAACTTCCTGAGGAGGAAGGAGAGAAAAGTAAGATGCAGGATGGACATACAGAGGAGGCAAATTAAAGGAAGACAATAGAGAAAAGGGGTGTAGTAAACAGGAGCAACAATTAAACAATGAGACTTTACTTATATCCATTAGATCATGAAGGTCAGGAGAATGGACAAAATAACAGACACTGGGCACCACACTAATCTAACAAAGATGGAATGTTACCTCCTGCATACAGACTCTTAGCTGGGTAAGAACAAAAATCCCCGAGACACAAACAAAACCCTCAATGATGAATAGGTTCAAGTTTAGAAAGAAAAGAGGATGGAGGCTGCAGAATAGACTTGGTGACCATAACCCAATTTAGGTAATTTTTAGAGAGTTTGAGGCAGCTGTGACGTGCAACTTTCAGGAAGGTTATGCAAGGCTTCCAAAACAGAATGAAGGACAACAGGGCACCTTTTTTAAGTAATCTAATGTATTTTAGAACACAAAAATTAAAACTATGAGAGGTACACTCATGAGAAATAATCAGTAGAAATCTAATGAAAGGTTGCTACAAGGTGGCAGTGCCTGCACAAACTACAGCAAAATTATCGACTTGAAGGGACAGAGGAGAGAGGCAGAGAGAGGCAGAGGAGAGAGGCAAAGTCATTAATAGCAAAAAGGAAAAAAAGTGTTGCTAAGAACACAGCCCTGAGGGACACCTTTAGCCTGGATGAAGTCAGGGTAAAAATCAATTATTAATTCAGACACAGAAATGTCACTTCAACAAGAAATCCTTAAGAAAAAGTGAGAGCATGCTCAAAAGTTGCCAGGAATGAGCCTGAGTTATGATGTTATAATGCCAGGTAGTGTCATATGCTCCTTCCAAGATCAAAAATTATCACAATAATCAAGTGATTATTATTGGAAGCATTACAAACAAAAGTATCAAAAGAGATTATGGGGTCAATAGCAGGACGGTCACTATGAAAACCACATTGATGAGGGGGAGAGAATTGTGAATTTCCAAACACCATGCTAAACAATGGTTAACAATATCTTCTAACAAGTTACAAATTGCACTGGTAAGAAAAATGGGTTAGTTAGAAGTGTCGTGACCTGAAGTACCCGGCAAGGAACTGTCTTTCACAAAGGGCAAAATTTCCCCACTAATGAGACAAAATGGAGAAAGGAAGGGTTAGGGTGTTTAAATTTGACCCAAGGAGGATCCATTGCTCAATTCCTTGGATCAAGAGCCCCCTTACACTGTATCACCCTTGAGGGGTTAAAAAAATATAAGCTTTATTATTTAGACAAACTAAGGTGTGTAGGGTGCAGCAAAATCAAGATCCTGCAGAAATATGTCCTTGTTTGGCCAGTCTGTTTGACAACCTTCACAAACCTGCAATGCAGATGACAAAAATACCACTTAAGGATCAATGTTATCTCAGGTGAGATACTATTACTTTTTCAGTAGTGGCAGACATACATGTACTACCTTCAGCTTAAAATACTTGGCAATATTACCGAATGTATATGCAATGAATATGTATTTGAAGGTTTCAAATGCATTTTTATAACATACGTATTTTGCAGTTTATAAGATGCATGTTTGTTTTCCATAAAATGTCTCCAAACCCACCCTGTGTCCTATAAACTGAAGGTCAGTGACAGAAGCTATAAGTCTGGGGTGTGGAGTGGGCTGTAGCTTTCCAAGTTACATCTGATGTCGAGCCATTGAAACTACAAGTCTTATAAACTGCTTCTTATAAGCCATGAAATACTTTATACACTCTAAAGCCCCTTCATCTGTATATATTACTAAATGCAAAAAAGAACAACTTGGTTTCTTTTTTTTCTGGTCACTCTGTCTTGGTGGGAGATGGCCAATGTATTAAAAACAAAATTCACATTTACATAGGGCAATGCTGAAACAAGATATTTATCTCATATATATTTGTCTTTACATAATAGGTAATGCTGAAACAATCACTACTTTGGATTATGACACACAGGTAGAATAAATTCTATTATAAACATTCTGATGTCCTCTAAAATTATTAAGTGACCTCTAATTGTGCAGAATTACTGACAAAAGAAATGTTCAGTATTTTCTTCATTATTAACATTACAACAAAACCCTTGCAAACCAAAAGGCAAAAAACACAAACCTAACAATGAAAATGAAACATAAGTAATTCAAGTATTTAGAGACAAACTGTGAAAATAATTGGTTCATTAGACAATAAAGCAGGTTTTGCAAACTTTATTAAAGCCCTAAAGCTCTCAAAACTTTACTATATAGACAAGAACCAAACATTTCAAGGTTTATTAAACAGATACTACCAATTTTCATTAAACAAATGTGACCTCAATAATATTAGGGCTTATTTATATAAATTTTATATTTAGAAATAAGGAAGCAAAGAGCTAGTAACCCCTTCTATATAAATTACTAAATATAAAAACTTTCTTTTAGGTCACCCTGCCTTGGTGGGATACGGCCGGTTGTTGGAGAAAAAAACATTAGGGATAACTATCACTAACCAGAATAACTAGAAGGAATATATAAACCTATCACAAAATAAAATTATACAAAATGAGTAGAAGCAGAGAGAGCACTTGGAATCTCTCCTTCGGATTTATCAGACAATAAATACAGTGTTCCACAAAAATGAATCACTGTACCACACTGCAATTTAAAGTAATTTCCTGGGGAGGGAGGGAGGAGGGAAGAGTAAGTCACTCTCAGTCAGTGACACCACTGTCGTATAATACGAGGAAATGCACTACAGTATCTGTGTCTTGTGGAGTATGATGTGGGTGTGCCAGATTTTCCAAGATTGCCAGCAGATGACAAAAAAAAAATTGCTTTTCAAACAGTGTGTGAAGGTGGCAGGGTACGCAACAGTTTCTAAATTTTCTCACTCTTCAGCATGCTGCATCTAGGCCACAGTTTTCTTGTCCATGGTGATAACCAAAAGCATATTTCTATTTACATTTTATTGAAGAATTCACTAATATACACTACCGTATATACATACATAAACTACCTTAAAGTGGTCTTGAATATAAAGGCTCGGAATTTGTAGAAAAATAAAATTTTCCCAGAGCGCTGAAAATAAAATAAGTATCTATTAAAAAAACATACCTGATGATAGTAAAGCAATTATTATATTTATGGTAAAGTGCTAAACCTGTAGGAGTCATACAGTGCCTGGGGAAACGAGAGGCAAACAGGTTCAATCCAAGGAAGGGGGGCACTGGTCCAATTCCTTGCATCAAGAGCCCCTCACTAGCAGCAAGGAACCACACTGGAAGAGCTAGTAAAGCACTATCACAACACACACATGGATATAATGTTTGTCAAGACCAGTGTCAGACCTACATTTTTGGATCCCTGAAGCTTGAATTGTTATGGAGTCACCTTCACAACCAGCAATGATAAGATACTTTAATATCTTTTCAATTTTTATTTTAACTAGTATTTTGTATTGATTTACAGTATATTATTATTATTATTATTATTTAAAAACCCTTCTCATTCAGTAAACCCCAAAAAATTTTAAGCAATGTGGACTAAAATCAAATCTGGGGCTCCTCTGGGATTACAGGCCCTGAAGCTTATACTTCAACAGTATCACAACACATCCTTCCCTGGTCAAGACACTAAGAGGTGATGACAGGTGCTACAGCTGTACCACACAGACATTATTACAAGCATTCTTCACTAATATTGTGAGTTAGGTTCCAGACCACGGCTGTAAGGTGAACATTGCCTTAAAGTAAATCACAGCCATTTTTTTTCATTTGCCAGTGCATAAGCCTAAAAACATCTTAATATATGATAATGTAAACATAAGTGGAAATAAAAAAGAACAAGAACTAGTAAGAAAATAGAAGAAAACCCAAAGGGTATGTAAATATATGCTTGTACATGCATGTGTAGTGTGACCTAAGTGTAAGTAGAAGTAGTAAGACGTACCTGAAATCTTACATGTTTATGAGACAGAAAAAAGGACACCAGCAATCCTACCATCATGTAAAACAATTACAGGTTTCTGTTTCACACTCACTTGGCAGGACGGTAGTACCTCCCTGGGCGGTTGCTGTCTACCAACCTACTACCTAGACTGTATAACTATAATGAATTATTTAAAATTAATGATTATCATTATTAGTTTTATAATAATTACTATTATTATTATTACCATCATCATCATTTCAGTAACATATGAAGAGTTTGTTAATTAATGAGTGACAGTTTCTTCATAAATAACTCTTGAGAACATGACAAACTAGCCATCCTAATAACACTGATGTTATGAGAACACTGATGGAGAGTAATTAAACTGAAGGGTCAAACCTGTTCGTAAACTACTAGAGTGCAGTGTGGTAAGGGAAAAACTTGTTGAATTCCATATTATACTTAACACACACACTGTTTTGCCTCATATAATGAGTTATAAAGTGTACTAGACTTCCGTACTCACTGTTCATGATTCAGTTTTTTGAGTGAGCTCAACTTCAGCTGATTTTCCAAAAAAATTATCCCTTTGGTATAAACTTTGGTAACTTGCACTAACACGGCAGCTATTGAATGAATGATGGAGAATATGTTTCCTTTTCTGGGGTCACCCTACCTTGGTGGGAGATGGCTAGTGTATAAAAAAAAAAAAAACCTAAGACTTGGGTTAATTTTGTTTCAGGGGTCAATGAATAATCAAATTCTCTAATTGGGAGGCTTGTAAGTTTATACACAGGCACTCCTTGACTTACAATGGGGTTAAGTTCCAACGAACCCATCGTAAGTCAAAAATATCGTAAGTCAAATGTGAATATATGCTAAATAAATAAATAACTACTGTCACTGAATGAGTAAATAAACAACTAATTACTGTAACTACTAGATACCAGTACTGAAACATAAATACAGATTTTCCACCTTCATGGTGGGTAATTATCTCAAGTTTCATCTCCAAAGTAATTGCTATTGCACCATCATAAAATTTAAATATTGTAAATCAAACCATCATAAGCTGAGGAGCACCTGTAGATGAATGTATGTATGTATGTATACACAGTATATGAAGGTAGCTAAACCAGTGATAGTAGTGCTGATGACCCTTGTCTGTAACACCTCAAGCATGGACAAGTTCCACAACAAGCTTTGAATGGGACAGCTATAACATATACAAGTTTAATCTGGGTTTGTCACTATAATAAGAATAATAATAATGATAGAGCTAAGGAAGGGGTAGCAATAATGTTGAAGGATCAGTTATGGAAGGAGAAGAAGGAATATAAATGTATAAATCCAAGGATTATGTGGATTAAAATAAGGGTCGGATGCAAAAAGTGGGTCATAATAAGTGCATATGCACCTGGAAAAGATAGGAGTGAGATAGATAGATAGATAGATAGAGAGACAGAGATAGAGAGATACTGACTGATTGATTTTGGGAGATGTTAAGTGAGTGTGTAAGAACTTTTGAACCAAGTCAGAGAGTAATTGTGGTAGGGGTCCTAAATGTTAAAATAGGAGTATCAGGTGTAAATGATAATGGAGAGCCTTTGATTGAACTTTGTATAGAAAGGGGTTTGGTTATAGGTAATACATATTTTAAGAAAAAGAGGATAAATAAGTATACAAGATATGATGTAGGGCGAAATGACAGTAGTTTGTTGAACTACATATTGGTAGATAAAAGACTGTTGGGTAGACTTCAAGATGTACATGTTTATAGAGGGGCCACAGATATATCAGATCACTTTTTAGTTGTAGCTACACTAAGAGAAAAAGGTAGATGGGATACAAGGAAAATGGAAGCAGCAAGTAAGAGAGAGGTGAAGGTTTATAGACTAGAGGAGGAGGCAGTTAGGGAAAGATATAAACAATTATTGGAGGACAGATGGGCTAATGAGAGTTTAGGCAATGGGACTGAAGATGTATGGGATAGATTTAAGAATGTAGTGTTAGTGTGTTCAGCAAAAGTTTGTGGTTACAGGAAAGTGGGTGCAGGAGGGAAGAAGAGCAACTGTTGGAATGATGTAAAGAGAGTAGTAAGAGAGAAAAAGTTAGCATATGAGAGGTTTCTACAAAGTATAAGTGATGCAAGGAGGAAGGAGTATATAGAGAGAAAGAGAGAGGCTAAGGAAGTGGTGAAGCAATGTAAAAAGAGAGCAAATGAGAGAGTGGGTGAGATGTTATCAACAAATTTTGTTGAAAATAAGAAAAAGTTTAGGAGTGAGATTAACAAGTTGAGGAAGCCTAGGTAATGAATGGATTTGATAGTTAAAAATAGGAGAGGAGAGTTATTAAATGCAGAGTAGGAATTGCTAAATGTTGATGATGATAGGGAAGCTGTGATTTCGTGTATAAGGCAAGGAGGAATAACATCTTGTAGGAGTGTGGAAGAGCCACTTGTGAGTGTGGGAGAAGTTTGTGAGGCAGTGGGTAGAATAAAATGGAGGCAAGACAGCTGGGATTGATGGGATAATGATAGAAATGTTAAAAGAAGGTGGGGATATAGTTTTGGAGTGGTTGGTGCTTTTATTTAATAAATGTATGGAAGAGGGTAAGGCACCAGGGGATTGGCAGAGAGCATGCATATTTCCTTGGTATAAAGGCAAAGGGGACAAAAGAGAGTGCAAAAATTATAGGGGAAGAAGTCTGTGGAGTCTAGGTAGTAGGCTAGTAGACAGCAACTGTCCAGGGAGGTACTACCATCTTGCCAAGTGAGTGTAAAACGAAAGCCTGTAATTGTTTTACATGATGGTAGGATTGCTGGTGTCCTTTTTTTTCTGTCTCATAAACATGCAAGATTTCAGGTACATCTTGCTACTTCTACTTAGGACACACCACACATACATGTACAAGCATATATATATATACACACCCCTCTGGGTTTTCTTCTATTTTCTTTCTAGTTCTTGTTTATTTCCTCTTATCTCCATGGGGAAGTGGAACAGAATTCTTCCTCCGTAAGCCATGCGTGTTGTAAGAGGCGACTAAACTGCCGGGAGCAAGGGGCTAATAACCCCTTCTCCCATATAAATTACTAAATTTAGGAAGAGGAGCTTTCGTTTTTCTTTTTGGGCCACCCTGCCTTGGTGGGATATGGCCAGTTTGATGAAAAAAAAATAAAAATTTAGGAGTGGACATGTCAGCAGATGGGTCTATGAAAGATAAGGTGAATCATAGAATTGACGAAGGGAAAAAGGCGAGTTGTGCACTGAGGAGTCTGTGGAGACAAAGAACTTAGTCCATAGAAGCAAAGCTCTTATATGGGTGAGAAGCATGGGTGGTGAATGTTGCAACAAGGAGATATCATGTCTGAGGGCAATGTGTGGTATGAATATAATGCAGAGAAATCATGGTTTGGAAATTGGGAGGAGGTGCGGGATTACCAAAATTATTATTCAGAGGGCTGAAGAGGGGCTGCTGAGGTGGTTCAGACATGTAGAAAAGATGGAACAAAATAGAATGACTTTGAGAATGTAAAAATTTGTAGTGAAAGGAAGGCAGGATAGGGGTCGGCCTAGGAAAGGTTGGAGGGAGGGGGTATAGGAGGTTTTGTGTGTGGGGGCTTGGACTTCCAGTAAGCATTCATGAGTGTGTTACATAGGAGCAAATGGAGACAAATGTTTTTTACGATTTGATGTGCTATTGCAGTGTGAGCAAGGTAACATTTATGAAGGGATTCAGGGAAACTGGCAGGCCGAACTTGAGTCCTGGAGATGGGAAGTACAGTGTCTGCACTCTCAAGGAGGAATGCTAATGTTAGTTTTATAACTGGAGTATAAGCACACCTTTGGCAAGACAGTGATGGCATGAATAATGGTGAAAGTTTTTTTTTCATGCTACCCTCCCTTGATGGGACAATATTTACTCTATATAGAAGTTTATTGAGTCACATGACTTAAAACTCCAGACAGAGCAAAACACTGTGTTAATAAAGCTTGTTCTACCTTGTTCTTCACTACTGTTGACAGTATGTCATTGGAGTCCAAGCATGGACATTACATTTCCTTCCTCTTCTTTCCTATTTCTCCTTCCTTATTTCCTTATTCCTCCTCTCACATTCTTTTCCTACTTCCTCCTTCCTTCACATAAGTACAGTTCTCAAAAGTCAAAAAAGCAAAGTGTATGGTCTCTCACCTAACCCACACACTCCTACTAAAAATTCTCATCATCTCTGACATGCAAGGTAATATCACGGATGAGTTTTGAGTGTTTTTCTACTCCCTGGTCTTGAGCCAGGTCAGTCCATGTTAC